CGCCGCTTCCGTCCTCGGATTTAGAACAGCATTTGACTCTGGGTAATGGCAACCTAGATGATGTACCGAATGGCTTCCATCATGATAGTAGCTCCTCCTCTACTGCGAATGGCTCCCCTCCCGACAATATTCAACTCGATCCCAGGGCGAGAGCATATTCAGAACTGTCTTTCGATGGTCAGGACTCCTATCGTTACACCAACGGAAACATCAACCATATACTGGACCCAGTTTCGCGCCCCATACCCAGCAGGATGGACATCAATGGAGTCAAGGGGAGTGGCATCGCCAATGCAGGCAATGTGTTCACCTTAGCTTCTACAATTATCGCCTCATGTCCTCTCCGAGACGTCATTGCTATCCTCATCATTCTTCTACAGCTCCCCCCGACTTTCCTTACCATCATCCATTGTCTCTTCGCAACACTCACGTTTGTACCGCCGTCAACCGGTACATCTCTCTCCGCCCTACCCTCTCTTAATGACATGTTCCAAGGTGCTGGTGGTACACCCTCAATGGCCACGATCATCTTTGCCGATATCATAATCCTCATATTCTGGCTTGTATTGAGCGTCCCAGTGCAAAATATCACCTTGGACCTCGCACAGGCTGTTATCGCAATCTCCCTCGGGGGTGCTGCGGCCGGCACAGGCGGCTCTACGAACAGCCTGTTTCTTTGCGTTGTTATAATCATCATCTCTCACACACTCCGCTACAATCCGGTTCGCCATTATGGTCTCCAGCTCCTATGGGTCGGCTTTCACAAGATCGGTTTTCCTGTTTCTAAACACCCGCCGACAATGTCAGACTACCCAGACACTTTCAATGTTCCCCATGGTTGGCTTCGGAGCTTACTCGGAGTACATATCTTAACGCAAGGAGTTGTGCGGCTCATCCGCCGGTCCTTAGCAAACAGAGAAAGTCTGTCTGGGTACTCCCCTGACAAGAAAAACGACCCCGAAGCTGCAGCAGCTGGTCAGATGCTTAGAGCTAACCTCAGTGCTCTAGATTCCAATACGACGGACGCGGGCTCCAGTTCCAGCACGGATGGAAGGCCGCCAGGCCCATCTCCCGCTGCACGTGAAGCTAAAGAAAGGAGCACTGGTGGGAAGAAGAAGCGCAAGCAATCTAATCAAGTTCGTAGTCAGCAGCCATTTTGGGCTGCACTTGCAAGTACAAAAGTTACTGTTTACAAAGAAATGGAGCATAGTCAGGCCTCTAGTGATGCCGCAGAGGCAAACGCAACGGATGCATATCATGTTGGAAATGCAAACTTCATCCAAGAGGAGGATCGCGTGTGGATCTCCGCTATTGGTTCTACCGATATATCTTTCGGCTTAAACCTTCTCAGAGAAATGTCAATGGCTGTCCACGACGGTATGAGACATGGTGCAAACTTAGGATCTGGTATCGATAAGTCGAAACCATTCTATGTGCGAGTCAATGGTGCAGATTGGAGCTCGACACGGATCAACGAGATACATCCAAATGGCAGTTACAGTGGTGATAACGTAGACGCATACTCTGGAGAAATTTTCGGTCTTACGCCCCTCTCGAGTTACTACATCGAGTTCGTTCGTATGTCAGACGATACTCCAATATACTCTGCGAGCCTCATTACCCAGTCGGCACCTGCTACTGAGCCGGGTCAGTACATACTCTCTTTATTAACTTGAAACCTTCTCTTGAGAACTGATCTCCTAACTCATTTACAGCTTCTGTCGTTGCCCCTACAACACATCAATCTCTCCGTCCGTCATCTCCTACAACAACTCTCAAGAACTCTATCTTGGCAGCGGAACAGAAGCTGTCAGAGAACCGAAACCGGCAGAAACGTAACCGGAAAGACCACAAGGGCGCCACTGGAGCCTTAAGGAAAGAGGTCGATAATTTAAATAACCGTGTCTCTTCATCTGGCGGTACTGACGATAGACAAAAATCTAAGGTTCTCCAATTCAAGCAAACGATCCGACAAACAGAAGAGTCTACCGTTGATATATGTCACCAGATAGATACCCTCGGAGAAATACCTAGAAATGAAATCGAGGAAGCATCTGCTAAAAAAGAAGCTTGGAAACAGGAGAGAGCCCATAGATCTGCCGTCTCCGAGGACTATAGCCAATGCAAAGGAACCGCTGATACCGAGGTCGCTCACATTCAAGCTGAGATCGCGTCCGCCATCCAAAAGCGTGATCGATTACAAGCTCGTCAAACCAAACTTAACGAGCAATACGCTACTCTTATGGCTGCTACTACTCAAGATATGGACGAAAAAGCACGAAGGGAAAAGTTACGGGCCGTTCGACTTGCCTCTCGTAGTGATCAAGAAAAACAATATGTCAGGTCTATTGCGCAGTTCGAAAGTCAGTTACATGATGTGAACTTAGCTAATGACCGCATGTTTCAGCAGATAAGTCATGTCGAAAACCTGCTCTCTCAGCAAGCGACTGGCTATCCTAATTCCGTGCCAACCACACCGGAAGGGAACCTTCCCGGAGCCAGCAATCGCAACTCACTTCCTCAATTCCCACCATTGAACTATCAGACATTCGGATTACCTCCGAGTACGGATGTTTTTCAAGGGACACCCGCACCCAAGTTCCGTGAGGGGAGAGGTCGCTCAAGCTCAATGTTATCGGGTGTAAGCGGATTCACTGCACCTGACCTTGACGACCCCGAACGTGACGCTCTCCTTGGAACTCACAACGCACCTGTGGGCTATGAGAGAAAAGGGAGCAATGGCAGCGGGTCTGGTAGTGCGAATGGTAGTAACCCTGGCAGTCAACGCGATCCTCTAAGTCCGATCGGTGGCAGATAGACATCTTCATTTCCATATAGGCAATATGACTTGCACTTGTTATGCTTCAAAATTCCATAGCTCTACTGTGCAGTATATGTGTGCCTGTGACTTGTTATAATATCCGTATGGTGCTACTAACTATCGTCTGACTAATTAAGACATGGAAATCATAAGTGTTGAGGAATTCACATGATATCGAGGTGCATGCAAAAGTATATCCAATCATGATGCAGCTATGCATCATCTGGCGAGAACGTTGGTTGTGTTTTTTCAACGTCCTCTCTCGGCAACCTCATCCTCAAAACACATCACACCTACACTTTACGTTAGACTAGCTCCCCTAGCAACATTCAGCTCCCCACTCTCACAGTCTCCCTGCAAATATCTTAGAGGGAGCAGGCACTCTTTACTTACTATTCCGCTATTCTTTTTTCTTTCCGCAAGCGTAATACAACATGGCACCTGTCGAAAACCCCTTGAAGCAAGATCCTAAGTACGATAACTACGACTTCCCAACGAACAGCCCCGTCCCACACAATGGACATCCTGGCTGGACAACACCCGAGCAGGATGCGCAAGTTTTCCAGCTGAGATCACTGCTCGAGCAGGCCGGTTATACTGAGAGACTGGATACTATGACCATGGTAGAGTTCGCTCAGCTACCCCCGACGTGGATTAAAATTCTAATAGTACGGCTAGCTCAGATTCCTACGAGCACGAAAATTCAACGTCGAACTCTCCAAACAAATGTAATTTTTGGTCCATATCAGCTGCGGCGGGGCTTACTCTATTAGGTTTATCGACTCTGAGAAGTGGCGGAGTGAATTTGGAGGTGGTGTTGAGAATCTAGTCAGAACATTTGATTATAAGGAGAAACCAAAGGTTTTTCAGTATTATCCCCAGTATTACCATAAAACGGACAAGGTGGGACACCCGAATTTCGGATAGACCGTTTGCTAAACAGCTTCAAGGATGGACGCCCTGTATACATCGAGCAACTGGGCAAAGTCGATCTGACGGCTATGTACAAAATTACGACCGAAGAACGCATGATACAGAATCTCGTGTGCGAGTACGAGAAGATGGCTGATCCTCGTCTCCCAGCCTGCTGTCGCAAGGCTGGACACCTGCTCGAAACCTCCTGCTCCATAATGGACCTTAAAGGGGTGGGTATCTCAAAAGCTAGCTCAGTGTACGGTTACCTGGGAAAGGTCTCGGCGATATCACAAAACTACTATCCCGAGCGGCTCGGAAAGCTCTACGTCATCAACGCACCCTGGGGTTTCGGCGCCGTCTTCAACTTCGTCAAGAGGTTCTTGGACCCCGTTACTGTGGAGAAGATCCACATTTTAGGTACCGGCTACGAGAAGGAGTTGCTCGCGCAAATCCCCAAGGAGAATCTTCCTACTGCGTTTGGCGGTTCGTGCGAGTGCGCTGAGGGTTGCATGCTTAGCGATGCAGGCCCTTGGCAGGAGCGGGAATACTATACACCTCCTAAGTGGGCTAAGCGGGACGATGACACTATTGAGAATAAGCCTGAGTCGGCTGAGGCGGCTCCTCAGACGGAGAGCACAGTTGCACCGCAAGGTGAAACGACACTGGAGGGGAAAGCACCCGCGCCCGCACCTGCCGCGGCTTAAAAGCATAGAGATGGTTTGTGGTTTCGGTCTTTTGCATCCGATTGAGCGTGTTGGAGAGGAGTGTTTTGATAAGGCTTCGAGTGCGTGAATGACAGGGGTGGTGTTGACTCGTTGGCTTAAAGGTGGGTGTAGAGGTTCCACATTGAGAGAGACCAAATTGTTCCCGTATAGAAGTACAGTTTAGAATGGTTCTCATGTGCATGGCTATGGTAAAAGAGTGCTATAATGTGAATCTTCCAGGGGAAATCATATATATACACCCTTTTAAGTTATGTCATCAATCTATGACTATGATGGAGTGTAAAATCCCTATTTCAAATGTTCAATAGTGAAGAATGGTAAAAATGTACTCGATGCCTTGATACGAGATATGGATACTCCACCATCCACAGAGGATAAGTAACTTTGTATTGTATATCTTGCCGGGGACTTGTCGGTGAACCTTTTTCAGATCACTGCACTATTGGCTAAATGTGTGCCATGGTTCAAAAGCGGGGTTTAGGCAGCTATTATGAAATTTATGTAGTACTGTACTCAAAACGATTCTCAACAATCATTTAGTCGCTTTAGATCATTTGGGAGATCGTCAGACTGAAGTATAACTTCAATCATCAAATCTGAAGGTAGTGTGTTCGATCCACACAAGCGACAATTTTCTTTTTTAGCATTTTTTCATGCAGATTTTCGCTTCTTTTTAGGGGTTGATGTATTTTTTGGTAAATAAGGGAGAGAATTATGAGTTATGCACCGTGCTTTGATCAGATTCTCACCCTCGCCCACTTTCACTATAGTTCTTCTAGGTTTCTTTCCATCCACGAATACTATCGGGTGGAGTACACCTCCTCTCAGAGAGTACATCTTCCTTTTAGGCATCGATTAATTCCTCTTTTCATCATAAAATGTAGACACCGCAGTTGCTCAGCTAGGCTCACCGCACCTGACTCACTCAATGTGTTGTCACTGCTGCCTTAGCGGGAAATGTACATAAAAAATTCCTTTCCAATCAATACATTTTAACATCTCTTATATTTTAACTCAAACCTTTCTTTCTTCCACTCTACTCTACAGCACCTTTCCAATTCCCTTGAGGACATTCTCATCACGGAACCTCTTGTTGACCGCCTAATCCGTGTGTCACACTCATAAAAGAGATTATACCATCAGGAACTTGATCTTAGGAGTCAATCTGCACGTTGCATCGAGGAAACACTCCCAGGATCGGTTACCCCAGATATACCAATTCCAGCTTATTCCAACTCTTCCCATCAAGCTTAACGGGATTGATCGTACAGACAGACAATTACTTCCTCCACCATGGCCGCAGCAGTTCTTTCCACTCTTCATCATGTTACCGAGCGGAAATTAAGTAAGCTGGCCGATCAACGTGAGAAGTATGAATCGGAGAAGAAGTCAATCCTGGATGCCGTTGCCGCAGCTCCACACCAACGTAGCAAGGTTTGCAAACTCTTGGACGGGTATGACGACTACAACATTGACATGCGACAAATCGGGCTGTCAGCTAAGAATCTCGACCGTTTTATACGCCAATCTCACTATGATCCTTCCGTATCTCCTCACATGCTTAAAGATTGGCAAGCAAAACTAGAACATGGTCTAGATATTCAGAGCTTGAAATACGAATATGCTTCCTTGTTCGGAAATCTTGTCACCGAATGGATCAAAAACCCAAATGATGCGCTTCTGACGACTCCGTCCGACGCCGAGAATCCCCAAGCTGGTGGTAACGGTTCTGATTCGGACAGTGACAGCGGTTCCTCGACCTTTAGCCACGTTGGACGCGAAGAGATGCATGAACAACGTAAGCAATGGGAGTCTTATGCTTTCACCGAGAAGAAGGTCGACCAAAGCAAGATTGAGAAATATCTCGACGAGCTGTTTGGATCTACGTTGCAATCTAAGAAGGTGAAGAAGACGCCACTCAAAGAGTTACGAGATTCGATGAAGAAAGTAATGGATTTCAAATCTGATCTCAAGGATAAGAAGGAAGACTATGAGACTGACCGCATCGTCACTTCTCATGAGAGATTTACCATCGATAAACTCAAAATATGCATCAAAGGAGTGTTGAAAGCGGATCTCTTCGTTGGTAAAAAGCGAGAAGCACTTGTAGACTTACAATCTAGGACTACTGTTCTCAGTGAAATGGTCGATGTCCTGAACATGGATCTGGACAGTCTAGATGAGTGGCAATGGGAACCATCACCTGTACCAATGCAGATGCGTAGACAGCTAAACGGGAAGTATCGTGCCTTCATGGACGAGGAGATTCATCAAGCTATCCTCCTTCACTTCATTGGAACTACTTGGGCCGTAGCATTGAAGGACGCTTTTATTAAGTTCTATCATTCCGGAGCATGGACCCAGTCTCCTTACCGTTCGATTAGTAAGAAGGGCAAAGAGAGACGAGAGTATTTCTTGGGTGACAGCAGACTTGAGACCAACTCTGTACGGAACATGAGGAGGGCGATGTATCAAGAGAACTACTTCATGACACAGTTACCGGATAGCGCCTCGTTAACCCCGCGCGATTACAATGATGAGACCGACTCAGGAGTGGACGATACGAAAACTCCCCTAGCCATCAAACAGTCTATGTTGCGCCTTATTACAGCAGAGATGCTCCTAAATACGAAGATATACGGCGAATTCAACATTCTACAGTCGGACTTCAAGTGGTTCGGTCCATCTTTGCCGCATGATACTATCTTCGCTGTATTGAAATTCTTTGGCGTCCCTGGTAAATGGTTGCGATTTTTTCAAAGGTTTCTTAGTTCGCCGGTAGTGTTTGTACAGGATGGACCAGATGCTCAACCGCAGATCCGGAAGTGTGGTATCCCCATGAGCCACGTTCTCAGTGATGCTTTCGGTGAGGCTGTTATGTTTTGCCTTGACTTCGCCATGAACAAGCGAACAAAGGGAGCGAACATCTACCGGTTCCATGATGATCTGTGGTTTTGGGGTCAGGAGAGTGTTGTCGTTGACGGTTGGAACGCCCTGAAAGAATTCTCTACCATCATGGGTATGGAACTCAATGAGGAGAAGACCGGCGCTACGAAAATTGTTGACGATCCGAAGAAGAAGAATGCCAAAGTTCCTACGTCACTTCCCAGTGGCAAGATCCGATGGGGCTTCTTATATCTCGATTCGGTGGAAGGTCGTTGGATCATCGACAGAGAACAAGTGGATACGCACATTGCTGAGCTGCGTCTTCAACTGGGAGCTTGCCGTAGTGTTTTTGCGTGGGTTCAAGCTTGGAATAGTTATGTCTCTCGATTCTTCAGTACCAATTTTGGACAACCCGCGAACTGTTTTGGACGTAAGCATCTCGATATGGTGATCGAGACATTCGAGCACATCCAATTGAAACTCTTCTCCGATACAGGCAGTGGAAACGTCACGGATTATCTACGTGGTATGCTAAAGGAAAGGTTTGGTGCTGAACATGTCCCAGATGGTTTCTTCTACTTTCCCGTGGAGCTAGGAGGACTGGAACTTCGCAATCCATTCGTCACCTTGTACACAAGCTATAAGCTTTCTCCTCGAAACGTGACAAAGCGAATCGATCAGGCATTTGAGGAAGAGACAGACGAGTATGACCGTCTCAAGAAGCAATGGAATAAGGGTGAGTTGGCTAGCCAGCAGAGGCGCTCGCGTGTCATCCGCCCTCAGGATGCATCTGAATCGGAATCCGACGAACCTTTCATGACGTTCGAAGAATTCACCAGGTATCAGGAAGAGACTTCTACGCACTTATCCAAGGCCTTCAGCTTCTTGCTCGCCGTCCCAGGAGAAGAGACGGTCGAGGAGACAGCAGATGTTAAGAAGGCGTTTTCAACTCTGCCCACAACCCTGACTTGGCATGCTGAGGCGAAGAAGCCGTATTGGGCTTGGATCGTTCAGTTGTATGCCGGGCATTTGGTTGAGAGGTTTGGAGGTCTGCAGTTGGGAGAGAAGTCCCTCTTGCCGGTTGGTCTGGTGGATGTTCTTAAAAGCGAGAGGGTTAGATGGATGGGATAGGAGACTAATGAGAGAAGAGCAGAAGGATCCTACTAAGAGCAGAGTTAGAGAGAGGTCATATCAGTGAGGGAACACTCAGGAACTGGTATTTCTACGAAGGTATGATATCAAAGGCAGCACAAAAGCATGTGCAAATCAGTGGTTTGCTGATTCCGACTGTGACGAAAAGACTCATACCTACATTAGCATGAGATAGATAAGCATTCATTCAGTCAATAATGTAAATATCAAACGAGGGTCTCTGGCTCTGAAGTGTGCTTCGAGAGGTACAGTACCAGATCAAAATGCTGAATTTACTCAATATATACCTCAAAAGGTCACCCCCTTGTACTCTTTACCCCACTCCAGCATAAAGGTAGCTCTACCTTAGAGCTCCCCTCTCTCTCACATCCCAAGCTCTCCGAAACAGGAAGGTGTGTAATACACTCCTCCGTAGTCCGTACAACATCTTCTCTCTACTTGTCTTCTATACACTTAGTTATACAGCCCAGGACTGACTGTATTATACAACTTACATACTCGGCATTCATAAAGCTAACCGATCCACTTCATCTTTGTTTGTATCTTAACACTCGCTTCGAACAGCAAC